TTAACGAATTGCCTAATATTTAAGCAAAATCTTGCTTTTATCTCGCAAAAATTTTACTTTATTTATAGGATTGCCCCCATTAAACAAAAATCTTGGACCGTCTTTCTCATAGTGTAGGTTATTGTTTGGCGAAGTTATGCTTTTGTATCATGCCTCATATTATGGTTTTTAGTATATGCATTTTCATTTACTGGCATTCATTTAGTTGGTTGTTCTGTTGTATGCGCAGGCCTGGTTCTTAGATCAATTTGGAGTCCTTTACAATGGCAAACAACCTTATCCTGGTGCAATTTCAACGTGCATGTTCCATTTGTGAGTTTTACCATTTTGGTAAGCTTTTCAGTGGAAAGAAGTGTTTGCTTTTTCTGATGGTGATATGCTAATGATTTTTATTCTTTAGAGAAATAATTTTTTTCTTGGCTTGACGGTAGAAAAATTGGCAACCAATGGCACCAAGATGGTGATTATTAGTAATTCATCAAGACGTGCATCAACAACAATGACCAAAATGAAGAGCCTTGGATTTGATCCCTCTTTCTTTGAAGGAGCCTTCACCAGTGGAGAATTAACGCATCAATACTTGCAAAGGTTTGCTAATTTTCCTGTTATGGTTTGTGCTGTGGAAATGTCACCTTCTCCATTTGTTCTTGATGCTGGATAGTCTTTTCATGATGAAATTGTTAGGCTATTTCGCTATTTGTGTCACTGGTCGTCAAAAATAGGTATTATTTCGATAGGCATTTTATAATTAGACCCAATTTTTGGGTTAGCAACTTGTGTATATTCAGTTGTTGATCTAAGACTACTCAATGTAATGTTCATATTTTAGAAAGAGCCAACTGTTAATTCAATTATGTTCCTAAAAGAAAAAAGAAAGAAAGAAAAATCATTTATTTATTCAAAATAGTTTTTTTGTAACCCTAAGAGGTAAGAATTGAAACAATTTATTCTTTTTCATTCTCAGCATTTCTTTTTCTTATATATGAAACATCCTGTTGTAAATGTGATTTTGCATATCGCCTTTCTTTGAACTTTTGTAACCATACATCACAAGAAGTTTTTCCTGGTTTCTATTGGTAGGAGAGATGATCCTTGGTTTGCAGCACTAGGAAGGTCTTGCATTCATATAACCTGGAGTGACAGGTGCTATATCTCTTGAGGTATGCTACTGTTATATTGTTTTATGACCATTTCTTTATAATTTTATGTAGGATATAGAGTTTTCAAAATGTTAAATACCCTGTGTCCCAACTCTTCTTTTTCTTCTTTTATGGATATTAGCAATTTAGTAATGAAAAGACTAAGGGTTGCTGATAACAAGTTGCTGAATGTGAGGGATTAACTTAGTATTTAGTATTTTATAATTCTGAGACCCGAAATTATTGGACATAAGATGCAAAATGATTCTTCCTCTGGAAAAAGATGCTTGTAGTGAGGTTATTAGGAATTTGGGATGCCCGCGCTCTTGCTTCTTGAATTTGTAATTTTTTGTTTAAATTCAAAAAATCTGCCAGGGTGTCATACTGCTACCATGTGATGTAGGTATGGATTGGGTGGATAACAATACATTGACATACTAATTCCTGAAAATAAAGGATATAATACAGCATATGTACACTAATACAATGCAGACATATACACATGCATAAAATTTTCATATTCATCTTATTTAGCTGTGAAGTGTGAACCATTTATTGAGTATGAAGTCCAATGCTTATAGACTAATACAATTTGGATAAAGCTGGCCCTTAGAAGTAACTTTATATTCTATCTCTTCCCTTGTTAGCTGCTTTATTGAAATCCAACAAAAATGTAATGATTGGGTTGGCCATAAGCAAGTGCTTTATTTTTTGCACTAGCGGTGCTTTACCTTCTCTATTACTTCTAGATTGCATGCAAAGTTCATAACTAAAACATTTGATGGGAGCTGTGATATTTATGGTTAACATGATAAAATCTCTTTCATTAGGGTTTAAGCTTAAAAGTTGTGGAGAATGTTGAAGAAGCCGAGTTTGTTTTGGTCCATGGCACCGAAGCCTAGTGGCTTCCTTCTGGTAATATCTATCCAGTGGGTATTGAGGATCTTGAGAAAATATTGGAACAATGTGCTTCTAAAAGGATTCCCATGATCATAGCTAATCCAGACTTTGTGACTGTTGAGGCTAGAGCTTTACTTATCATGCCTGGTAAAGATGTCTGATTTAACTTGGTTTGACTCTTCTTGAGTGTCTCATATAGACAGAAACACACTGTTTAGGCTCTCAACTTTGAACTCTAAGTCTCCTAAGCATTTTGTGTGGCAGCACTACAGGAGTTTCTTTTCTGTTCATGTGTTAAAGTACCTTTTTGTGGGTTCTACTTTTCTTTGTGAGAATCAGCTTTCAATTATAGCTATCCCCTTTATGGCTCCTTGGTTTAATGGTTTAATGCTAGTGTCTATGTTTTAGGTACATTGGCTGCCAAATATGAAAGGCTTGGGGGTGAAGTGAAATGGATGGGGAAGCCAGATAAAGTAATATGATCTGTTTCTTATTTCCCTTGTATTATATTCCTGCCCTTCTAACATTGCAGTTTATCTTTACATTACATGTTTGGGGTTGAAGTAAAATGGATTTCAAAGATTATATTTACTCCTTTTTGAACTTTCATCAGATAATATACAAATCAGCTATGGCAATGGTTGGTGTGGATGCTTCTGATTCTATAGCTGTGGGTGATTCCCTTCATCGTGATATTAAGGGTGCAAATGAGGCTGGAATCGCTTCGGCATTCATCACTGGAGGGATCCATGTAACTGAGCTTGGACTCAGTAGCTTTGGGCAAGTTGCAGACCTATCTCCTATAAAGACCCTTGTTGCCAAATATGATGCACATCCAACGTATAGGTTGCCAGCATTTGCATGGTAGAATCGCACCACGGTTTGTGTTCTCCTTTATTCTGTTTCCTTACATTGTTTTTGTGCCTGAGGACAATTTTTACACCGTGCACAAATGGAAATGTTGGTAGGGAAATTGTCCTTACAAAAAAAAATGGCTCTTCATGTAGAAGAGGCACTGCTGGTTGCAATGATTACTTTGTCAATATTTAGGTCAAAATTCAAGATCGTTGATGTACTTATTTCTGAATATGTGAACAGTAAACTCGTCTGGATAAAATGGTTGGCGTTCCTTGCTTGGTGTTCATAACATGAGTTTATATTTTCCAGGTTCCAGGTTTCACTGTCTCTTAAATGTTGTTCTCGTCTCTTATATTTTACTTTAATATGTCAATCAGGGTCAAGTGTCAAGATCATGTTCAACTGGTGCTCTTTTGCTGTGGTTGCTGAATCGTTATTTCTTTCGTTAAGAAATCCCATGTCCCAGTTGTAAGATCTATAGACTGGATCTTATTGCTTCAAGGTATTATAACAAAAGTGCAGGATTTAGTTGTGGACCATTGGACAATTGTATGCATTTGACTCTTTGGTTTGAGATTCTATGCACACTCATTGTGACATCATGATTTAAATTCTGTCCTTTGCCACCCTCTCAAAGATATATATATCTTAGTATGAAAATATTCACATGCATGTGTGAGATCAGATAATTTTCTGGTACAAAGCATTTCTAATGTTGTCAGTGTTCTATGGATTGAGTGCAAAATAAAACTCCTTCCATGTTGGGTGGAAGATGGTATG